GGAACGAAGTTCGGAGTAGCCTCGGTCGACCATCGAGCGGCCTTCGAACGATGCTCGAGCGGATTACGTACGAGCCCGAGCTCGAGCTCGCGGATTTTAAATGGAGCTCGAAAGGAGCTCAACTGGGCCTTGAACAAGCATAGAGCCGGTCGCAAGTGACGACTGAACGGTTTGGAAACTTTCAGAAACCGCTGCGTTTTGTTCCTTGCAACATATATATGCATTGAGCTCAGAATCTTGCCGGACTGCGAAGGGCGCAATGACGGGGGTTGTAACATAACATCATCTGATTGCACAAAAATGTGCTTATGCATTAGATAAAAAGTCGGAAATTTGATCTGTTTCTTTTTTATATTGTAAGGTCCTTCTTTAATTGATATCGGTTATGAATAGATATCACATGCTTGTACGATAGTTTAAGAAATATTCAGATTGTAAAAAATACTATTAGTTTTTTCAGCTGCCAATCGAAACTTATTGTGCACACACATTATTTCAAGCTATCAGAATATATTTGAAGCGCGTAAACTATTTTTAACATTTGAAAGGAATTACAGATATTTAATCAATTTTATCGTCAAGATACTCTTGAAATTTCACAGAGATGGTATAATATTAAAATATTGAGTTGTCTGCGTAACCTCTCGTTCATATGCACTACTTTGGACATTTTTATTGATAAACATAGTGTCTCTCGATTAATTGTAGAAGAGTATAGATTAAGTCTATGAGTTGAATCTGAAGTTGATTTGTTAATTATCAAAATATTTGTTTATGTGTTTTTATAATAATCTTTCATTGCGTACACGATACGACAGGAAAATTTACATGACTTGAGTTAATTATTCGCAATCAATTGAATATTAGATGACCGAGCTCCCTAGAGTACGAATCACAAATTAGTTCTATCATTAGATCTAATAGGAAAGATGATATTTGTATATTTTCGACATTATTTCAATTCTTTAGAAATCTGAGACTTCACAGTATCTACTTGTAAAAATGGGGATTCTTGGTCAATTGGACAACAGAAGGGTTTCTCCTTTTTAAACATTTTGCAATGTATACATTGTTAAGGTATCAAATCTGCTAACCTCTCTCCTCCCTCAATAGGCTCTCGATTTCTGGAGCCTAACATCGCACATTTCGGTGTCAATAGTTAATTGCTCGATACGTTATGATATTATCGAATTTATATGAACTCGGAACTCTCACTGTACAAGCACCAACTATAAACATAATTAGTTATGGTTGAACTTTCCCCAATATTTTCATTACGATTGCGAAATGAATTGCAATACCGCCAGCAAGATCAAGAGCCAGAGTGTCTCTAAAAATTATCAAAGATGATTGCCAAGTCATTTTTTCCACATCTCTCCAATACCCCACGACTCTTCTCCATCTTTACCCCAAATTTTACCATGAATACTTTGAAAAATGGTGGATATACTACTGGAAGTAGGGGACAGTGGGGCAACGTGGAACGGTTGTGATGGACTCTAATACTTGATATCTTTGTTTTTAAGCAGAGATATTGGAATTTCAAGTCGATGAGAAATGTTCTACTTTGCCCCACCCTGCCCTAGTCTTTTGCAGTTTTCTAGAGAAACTTATGCCTTAAATTCTACTGTTAGTGAATCCAGTCTGACTGGAAAAGCAACTGCGCATAGTCATTAAGAGATATAAGTAAATAAATGAAATTATTGAGTCCAATAAGAGATGGTTAGACGAACTAGATCCGTTATCGTAGAAAAATGCTAATTACCAAGTTGAGTATTACTGAAGAACCTGAAGACAATTAGAACAAGATTTACGAGAGATCGAGAAGGCATTAACGTCATGGATCATTCGGCAATTCCGGAAAGTTGAAAATCTACCGGACGATACGACCGACTGTATGAGACGTACGGAATGTGTATTCTCCTGAAGGAATAACTATTGATTAGCCACATATTTTCAACCAATCCTGAAAGTCAGAAGGTTGTCATTCAATTGATACCAATAAATGTGAATGTCAGAAAATCTTTGATTTGAATGAAATGTCAACAGGAGTTTTGGAAAAAAAAAAGAAAACATGTAGCACTATTTAATGACGTTTCTCCGTTTGTTGCAAATTGTTACAACATTTAGTGATGCATTCGTTGTATTCGAAGATCGATAGAACCAACTGGCGGGGAACTTCCTTATGCATGAACTCTGGTGAAAATCAAATTCATTTTTTATAACAATTCCAAACCGGGAGTATAATTTCACCTACTTTTTCTTGCTCGCAATATTGCTTTAGGGATAGCTTCTTGATTCCCAAAGCCTGTCCTTGACATCTTCAGCAATTTTCTTCTACGAATCATGTGTTTAAGCAACCTCCGAACGAGGTCCTTCGGTTTCTTTCTCCAGCGTCTCCTTATATCTCTCAATTCAGCATAATCAACATAAACACCCGATTCGGCAATCAGTTCCACTTTATTTCTTCCATTCTCTCTCCAGTCTACAGTAGAACCTGCATCGATCTCTGAACTATTACTGTCGACATCAGTATCTGAATCACCGCCCTCAAAGGATTTTCTCCATATTTCTGCAGATCTTTTGGCTGGAGGTACAGTAGCTTGAGGATTCGAGGGAATTCTTGGAATGTTGAGTTGTCGAGATGTAGAACGGCTTGGTTCGTTATGACGACCACCCTCTCGACTACAGCTTTGGTCGGAGCTCGAATTGACTCGTGGCAATTTTCCTTCTTGTTTTTTTTCGATTTTTCACGTGGTGGAGTTGAGAATAGTGTTGAGGAACGTTGATGACAATCGCAAGAAGGTAAAGTAGGAATGATGGAAGCAATCGATTCATTAGTCACAACAAATTCCAATTCCCGAGACTTGATCATGCGAGATCTGGACGAGGATAGTGTACGAGGAGGGAAAACGTTAACAGGCGTCTCATCTGATCCAGTATCACTGGACTGATTTGTGGAGAGCCTAATGATGATTGGAGACGTTCCTCTCGACTTTGTAGGTTTTTTTCCTTCCTGAACATGAAAACTCAGTCCGGAAGAGGACTGACCAGGGGGTGATCCGAAGGACAACGGGGTATTTTGTGAGGTTCGAGCTACAGCACTTCGCTTGCCACCATTTATTTCGATACGTTTTGGATTTTCGCTAAAATTTATTGTGAAAAAATGGAAGAAATGGGGCGACAAACACCATGATAAATTAATTAATTATGATAACCACAAACCGGACATGGGAAGATATCGAAGATTCCGAACGATTCAAAGGGGAAATTTCTCTGAGTCTGCACGAAGCCAAAGATTCAGCAGATTTTTCACTGTTGAGATAGAGATTATTAACATGGGAACTGTTTTGAACTCCACGAAGTTTGGTAGGACAAGGAGGACGTATGACGGTTGGGACTTTTGGAAAACTGCTTGAGTCAGGGTTTGATGCTATTGGAATGTGTCCTTCATGGTCAGGATCTGTTGGAAGACTCGTGGAATTTTTCGGTCATATGAATCAGTAATTGGTATTGCTTTATATTAAATTGATCTTGTCTACTGACTGTGAAACTTCGGACGTGAGAGGCTGGCATTGATGTGGGGTAACACTGTTCTCATGTTTAATAACAGCCAGAATCTCAACTTCAGCATCATCGAAACTTGAATTACGACCAGAATCGCTGTGAACTCGGGACAGGATAAATTTGGATTGGTGCAATGAGAGTGTCTTGCCTTTTTCAATCAATCGAGCTTTTGAAGTGATTGCTGCCTTCTCGTTGTGAATCGCTTCGTCTTTTCCTGACTTCGCGGAATAAGATAGAAGAGCAGTGCCAAGACTACCACATGAAGCAAATTTGTCCTTGAAAAAGGGATTTCTCAAGACCTGCATTCGCGTTTCTGAGGAGCTACAATCTGGACTGGAGGTGCTCTTTGGCGACTCCATGATCTCTGTACGTTTCCTAGGTGGCAAATTCTCATCTTCCTCACGCGGAGGGTTGACAGAGGGTTGATCATCGATGAGATTTGACTGGGACTCTACCTGTGTTGTTTCAGATGATTTCTGAGTGAATTCCGATCGTGAAAAATCAATCACTCCTGTTTTTTCCACGTATAAGGAGTTCAGTAGTTCTTCGTCATCTATCACCCAAACGAAGAAAATATGTACAAGTTGATAGAATCAATTAAATCATGATTGACTCACTGCCTTGAGCCAGAAGTTTTCCCTTATAATATTTTCCATCGTCCCATTTAGCGAGAACAATAATTCTGTCATTTTCTCTGTCGATTTTTGACATTGGTAATACACTAAATGTTTTATCCGTCCACAAAACGAACCCCCACTTCATAATAATGGAACTAATGAGGGAAAACAAATAGACTTAGTTCTTTGAATTGAATAAATGATTCTGGTTAACTCACAATCAGTATCAGCCTGTCATAAAACTGTATGGTAGTTTTCGCTCGCTCTTGTTTATTGAATATTCTTTTTTTTCTCATTGGAATGAGGTTCTCACTGGTGTGAATAATCTAAGGAGAGATGACGCATTGATAAAATTTGAAAACATGCAGAATTGATGATTGAATTACCGCCGGCATTTGCTGTGTAATCTCTCAATTCACTCGGAAATGAAGAACAAACTGGAATTGGCATGAACTATCAACTGCTTGTTCCATTGATTATTTTTTTGCATATTTTCTCTTAATAAATAACTGAGTGACGCATTGTATTAATAAGTTTGGATAACTCCAATCCACACAATTCCCATGTCTAGATGTGGAAAATGGATGAACTCATCCACTTTAGCATCTCCATCAGGATACTCCTGAGAGCTCTGAAACATGTTCAAAACGATTATCTTTAGCATCTATATTTTCTTTCTCTTTTCTTCTCAACACTTGAGATTCGCCTGTAATCTGGGAAGAATGGGATGATCCCATAATCATAAACCGAATGACGGGAAAATAAAGTACAAATACTCTGACTATATTTCAAAGCCTCCTAGGGTGAATTTTGGAGATGCTGGAGAAAATGTTTCTAGTCATCATAGAATGTGTCCTAGGGAGAATCCTGTTGGAAGTGCTGGAAAGGAATCATCCGAGTTGTCCTCCGGAGTGTCCTAGAGAGAATCCTGGTGAGAATGCTGGAAAAAAATCGTTCTAATTGTCTTCGGGAGTGGCCTAGAGAGAATCCTGGTGAGAATGCTGGAAAAACATCGTTCTAATTGTCTTCGGGAGTGGCCTAGAGAAAATTCTGGTAAAATTACTAGAGAAAATCAGTCCAGTCATTCTTCGGAGTGTCCTGGGAAGAATTCTGTTGGTCGGTGCTGAAAAAAATAATTATAGTCGTCCTCTGGAGTGTCCTAGAGAAAATCCTGATGAGATTGCTGGAGAAAATCCTTCTAGTCGTCCTTCGGAGTATCCTGAGGAGAGTCCTGTTGGAAGTGCTGGAAAAAATCGTTCTGGTTATCCTTCGGAGAGTTCTAGAGAAAATCCTGATGAGATTGCTGGAGAAAATCCTTCTAGTCGTCCTTCGGAGTATCCTGAGGAGAGTCCTGTTGGAAGTGCTGGAAAAAATCGTTCTGGTTATCCTTCGGAGAGTTCTAGAGAAAATCCTGATGAGATTGCTGGAGAAAATCCTTCTAGTCGTCCTTCGGAGTATCCTGAGGAGAGTCCTGTTGGAAGTGCTGGAAAAAATCGTTCTGGTTATCCTTCGGAGAGTTCTAGAGAAAATCCTGATGAGATTGCTGGACAAAATCATTCTGGTTGTCCTTCGGAGGGTCCTAGAGAAAATCCTGATGAGATTACTGGAGAAAATCCTTCTAGTCGTCCTTCGGAGTATCCTGAGGAGAATTGTGTTGGAAGTGCTGGAGAAAATCATTCTGGTTGTCCTTCGGAGTGTCCTAGAGAAAATCCTGATGGGATTGCTGGAGAAAATCCTTGTAGTCGTCCTTCGGAGTGTCCTGAGGAGAATCCCGTTGGCAGTGCTGGAAAAAATCATTCTAGTGGTCCTTCGGAGTGTCCTAAAGAAAATCCTGATGAGTCTATAAGTGTAGCCACAAGTGCCATAGTAATTATCGCGATGGCAGCCGCTTCAATCGTTGCAATGGCTATAGCTGAAAAAGCCGTAGTAATGTCGTAGTTGCTGCTCCAACTGTCACAGCGGTGCTTACCGCGCGTGCCGCGTGCAATATCCTTGATCGTCGCGGTTGCTGTCACTGCGCGTCCAGCGTGCGAGATTGCCGTAAAAATCAATTTCTTCGGGAGTCATCCCAATACGAGACTCGAGACGTCACTCGCTTCGCTCAAGACTGCATTGAAATGGAGAAAACTGTGGATCGTGATTTTCCAACATTCCCGAGCATTTAGAAATTCCTTATTTAGATATTTGTGTCGTCTGAAATCATTTGATTATCATCTAGGAGGTGATAAATGAAAAGATTAACGTCCTTACTACGGAATATGTAAAATGTACCTGATATCATTTCTACCATGGTTTTTTTAATGAGGTGGTAGCTCAAAAAAAAATTGCTTTAATATTATCTCTTGATAATTCATATCATGTCATAATCCCCTCATTATGTATTATGGAAAACAATGAATATCCTCCATCGAAAACTCTTCAATTTTCCAATTATATTCCACTTACTCCGCTCCGAATTTCATGTATCGTTTCTTCATTCATTTGAACTTGCGGCCATTTATTCAATTGAGGTCGCCACCGATCGATTCTACTCGCATTTTCAATAGTTACTAGAATCCCTAGATATCACGTCGGGGTTCTAAACATTGACCCATCCATAGCGCTCTATCTAGGCTCCCGGCCTCAGCGACGTTGCCGTTTCATGAGAGCCATATCATGGCGGCCGTCTACCATGATATCATTGGCTCAACTAATAGAAAATTCTTATCGCTATCATTTGAATGTTTATCATCCAATTTCATTAATTTCTGCACCATTGATCTTGTATTTTTTTACTTTACATGCTCCGAATATTTGTAAGGTGGGTGCCGTCAACACCCTGTATATATATATATATATATATATATATATATATATATATATATATATATATATATATATATATTTTTTTTCGTTATCAGACAGAGACCTTTTGACAAGATGATGTAGACAGTACATCCAAACAGGAACCCTTAGTCCCCCTAAAACAGAGAGGAAATTTTTCGCCGCCAAGGCCGCAGCTCCAGAAAAAACAACCTTAATATTGAAAAAGAAAAAAACGGTCCCAAATTCATATTCATATCTGGTTGAAATAATAATTAGTGAAATTAATTCTTGTAATATATTGTGGCCTTCCATATGAATTCTTTTCAAAAGATAAATCGATTCTAAATGAAGGTCAATTAGTATTTATATTAGTATATACGCAATATCTTTCTGTACAGATAATGAAAACAAGAAGTGATACAGTCTTGGATAACGCTGAATTGTTCGACAAAGTCATCAGTGCCAGGATAGTTGAGGACATTGAGGAAAATAAAGGCAATCAAGATACAGAGAAGGTTGACTCGTATTTTCAAATAACACGACCGTTAACGTTCCGGACAGGTCGTCCTATTTTTATCCGATATATAAAGGGAATAATAAATACAAATTTTCCCTTATTGCAAAGGGGGGGGGG